AGCTGGTCGGCAGAGCGTGGCAGCCATTTAAATTTAAATGAAGCCGCGATTATTTAAATCGCGGCTTCATTTCCCTCTGCCGATCAGCCTAATCTACATGGCTCCATCGACGGAGCCATGTAGTTTAGACACACCTAGAGTGACTGCAGCCCTTGCTGGCATCATGCTCCTGGGGCAGAAGCCAGGATGCAGAATCTGAGACACTTCACAGAACCCAGAGCCCCTTACCAGAGTCAGTGACAAGACCCCTTTTTGCACTTCCCTGCACACAAAACAGTGGAGGCCTTGGAGACCAATAGGATTAGAAGAGAGTGTGGGACCTCATAGGGGAGCTGCAGCAAGGCCTATGGGAAGGTCCCTCTAGGCCATTTCGTGGGTAAGTTTCCAAAAGGCAGTTACCATTTTTCTGTCCCTTGGAGGCCTGCATAGTTGGACTCAGGGGACCCCTTAGTTCACAGGCAAAAGAATGCAAGTACTTAGGCTGATTCCAGAGACCTAAAAGAGGGCATGTTTCCCCCTGCAGTGCACTGACGCAGATGGCCCAGCTGTGGACCGTGCCAGGGCTTGGTGTGAGATGACAGATGTACACTATTTCCGGTATGAGCTCTTGTGCCCTTCCCCTCTCTTTCTGTGCAAAGCCATCTATTTGGCTCTTCCTTCCCATCGTTCTTACCCCTCTCAAGACTTGAGCATGGCATGTGTCCCCATCTCCAGGCACTGTACAGTGCTGCATTTAATGCCAGTATTCCCATCGCTGCCTGTCTCTTGTGTTGCTGTAATGCTTTTCGGATAGTCGACAGGATAGTCAACTAGTCGCTTTTCCTCCCCCCCCTCCTTCTTGCTGCCTCTGCGGCACTGCTGCTTTGAATGCCATGGGGAGCCCAGCATCAGGCTTCCTGCAGCATTTCAAAGCAGCAGCGCCACTTGGAGCTTGGGGATCAGCTGGGGACTCCACTGCTGACCCAGGGCTCCAAGTGGTGCTGCTGCTTTGAAATGCCGCGGGGAGCCCAGCGTCGGGCTCCTTGTGGCATTTCAAAGTGGCAGCGCCCCATGGAGCCTGGGGTCAGCGGGGGAGTCCCCAGCTGACTTCAGGCTTCAGTGCTTTCGCCTCTGAAGTGTAGCAACAACAAAAATGCGTCAACTATTTGATTAGTCGATTACCCGATACTTAACACCCTTAGTCCTCGTGTCTTCCCCAGTCCCACCGGGTGACATCTCCATCTCCACAGGCTCAGCCCACAGCTGCACTCCGATGTGATGCTGGATGAGGTGAAAGACACGATCCTAGTGAACGCACTCTGGGATACTCAGCTCTACATCTACCAACAGCAGGAGCAGTTCAAGCAGCTGGTGCAGGAGCTCCTCACCCAGTGACTCTCTGGAAGACTCAAAAGCACCAGAGACTTAGGAAGTGGGCAAGGGACAGCAGCCTTTGTAAAAGGCCTGGACCAGGGCTTGTCCTTGCCCTCAGACCAAGACGTTGGTGGGAAGAATTAAGGACTCAGAGATATTAAATGAGAAGCAGCTCCCCTCCTCCTCCATGCACACATGCAGTGGCAATAGGAATTTACAACTGAAATGGAGCCCTGAGTCCCTGGACCTCCGAGTGCAGTCTCTGGGTTACCCCCCTCCTGCCCTGTATGGGCATGTTCCCTAAATCTGTGAATCTGACAGAGCAAGGGCAGACCTCACACTGCTTCCCAGTGCCTCAGTAGACCTCCTGTATGGTAACCTTGAGAACACATCTCCCCCTAGAATATCTGTGGCGCTGGCCCTTCCCACTGAACACACTGAAAGTAGGACAAAGACAGACTTTTGAGGACTAGTTTACCCACTTTGCGCGCGCGTGTGTGTGTGTGTGTGTTGTGAAGAGAACTGGAATTGCTACCCCATGTGGTCTGGGTGGAGAAAGGGGCAAGAGAGTAAAGTCCCTGCAATAGTTTTAGATCAAAAGTATTGTGATCCATTATTAGCCTAGGGATGGGGGAGGTGTGATATTTTCCCTTGATCTATTATAGCCTGTGGCTGCTACTGCTACCCTTTCCCTTTCTGTGGCTTCATTGCCCCCTCCCCAACTTCAGTCCTATCTCTTCTGCCAGTGTCCCACCTAGTTCCCTAGTGCCCATAAGCTGCTGGGTAGTGTGAGTAGGTCTGGGAGAGGGAGAGGAAGATGATGAGCCTTTGGGGTTTTTCCATGAATGTTTCTAGTTGCCTGGCCTGAGCTGATAGTCCTCAGTCGTGTGCTGTGGAAACTGCCCCTCCCCCTTCCCTTCCAGGGGTCACATGATGCGGAACAATATTCTTGCTTCAGCCATGGAACAAAGATTTATTGGCTGATAACACTTAATAAAAAGATAACTGTGATTTAAATGCTGTATTTGCTGTGATCATTTCTCCCCTGAGGAATCTGACCCCTGATAATAGCTGGATTTCTGCTATTTTATTGCTTCCCCCTTACCCCAGCTCTTCCTCCTTTGTTGCACACTGGAATTCCCTTTTAAAGGGCACTCACTGTTTCTGAATTTGGTTTAGTTTTTTATAAGAGATGAATTTAATAGCTGGTAGGAACTGGTAGGAGTTCACAGTTTGTCAGATCATCTCCAACTGTCCAGGAATTGGATCACAAGAATAGAGGATACACCAAAGTGTGTTGGAATCTAATGATCATGAGGCATCAGGGTGTTTAGTTCTGCATCTCGTCCCAAAGATTGTTGTCAGCATCTGGTAAGAGAGAAGCTTTCTGCACCTGGGTGAAAGCTGTGTTCGGCCTGGGTCTATTTGATGTGCGTTGTGCAGAGCTGTAGGTGTCCTGGAGTAGAGATACCAGCCGCATCAGGCTGCATGCATGATGGCATTAAAGGAAGCCTGCTTGTTGGGTTTGGTGGGGCAAGCTCCACAAATTCTCTTTTCCTCGAGTTGGAAAGGGATGTGGTTGTGACTGTTCTTGGAATATGTAGGGCTGTGGGCCACCTTGTTGTCGGCAGCCTCTAGTATGAGAGCATCTTGTCTGTGCCAGCCGGGTGTTAGCTCCCTAATACAACCAGCCTGTTATACACCCATGCACTCTTCTCTGGGCTGTCCGGGTTCTGCCTTTGGCCTGCAGGTTGACTATGAAATGCACCCCAGCCTCTGAGCCTTCAAAGTGTCCCCCTGTGGTGTCCAGCCCCTTATCACTGGATACCCATGGAAATCCCAGGTCCTCCATAATGTGGCAGGGTGGACATGGCACCAGTGCTGGGCGAGAGCTCTCCCAGCACTCTAGGTAAATCACCTCCATGAGGGGACTAGTTCAGGTCCATCCTTAGGCATAAGCAGCTGCATAGGCCACCACTGAATTTGGGGTACCTACTGGTAGTGCCCCAAATTTAGTGGTTCCCTATGCTGTGTATGCCTAGGAACAGGATGTTAAGCAGCCCAGGGCAGCATCCGCTCCAGAGCCCCATTCCCTGCCACCCTCACTCAATGCTGGCTCCAGGAGACAGCCCTTCCCCCCCATCTCCCAGGTCTCAGCGCTAGTTCCAGCCCCATCCACTGTCTGCCCACCCCCTCTTGTGGGCTCTGCACCCAGAACCTGCTCACCACATGGCAGTGAACAGCATGAGCATGGGCCAGAGGACTCCAGAGTAGCAGGAGGCAGCTGGTGGCTGGAAAGCAGCATTGTTTTCCTCTTCAAAGCACCCCTTCTCTCCAGCCAACAGCGCAGCTGGCCTCTGCTCCTCTGGTCTGCCCTCGCATCGCCCATTGCCATCCCGGACTTCTGCTCTGAGGCTGCAGGTGAGCCTTCCTCTCTGCTCTGCTCCAAGGTTGCCAACTCTCTGACCGGATGCACCGGACAGCACTGCAGCAAATGGGCATCTGGTCTAGGAGAATTGCTGACCCCTTGTCCTCCACAGCTTCTGCCCCCCCGTAGCACCCACTACAGAGCAGCTGGTTGCTCCTCCCCCCATGTGGTGGAGGTGCTGGTGCTGGGCTTCATAGGGCATAGGCCCTGCCCTGGGCTAGCTAACACTGCCAGAAACCTGCTTACACCCATGCTGCTTTACAGCGCTGTAACTTGATGTGCTTGGGGGAGGGGATGTTTTTCACACCCGTAAATGAGGAGTCACAGTGCAGCAAAGTGGCAGTGTAGATAAACCCTTAGATGTTTCCAGCAGTCATCTTGGGTAGGGTAGCTAAGGAGAACTGACTACCAGAATTACCTCACTCCCCATCCTTAAACAGGTTTTGCATAAGGCAGGAATCCTTTGTGTTCCGTTTAAACTTTTTCTCACTTTCATTGAAAAAATACAGAGTCCAAAATGGGTCCCAGCATCAGGTGATATGGCCACGTCTTTGTAGGATCCACCATAACCCCTCCTCCCAGGCTCATAGGAAAAAACAGTCTTTTCGCAGATCATTGTCCTGAGTATTGGGCCATTAAGGGCCAGAGCCCTCAGCATCACTATATTAGTAACAAAACAGGTTCATATTTCATATTTCTAATTCCTAACACAGCAATGATGCATGCATACAAGTAGGATAAACACATTCAGCAGATTATAACCTTTCCAATGAGATGTCACATGAACTATCTTGTATAAAGCATATTCCAGTTATTTCATATTGTCATAAAGCACATGGGATGTCCTGTCTTAGTGAGTTTGTAAGATCTGAGGCAGGACAATGAACCTTTTCCCAGTAGCACCAATGTGCCTCTGTGGTGAGGCACAATCCAGATGGCTTGACCAGCACATGATGGTACAGAGGGGTGAGCTGTATGCTGAAACCTGCAATAAATAATTCAAAGTGATGGTCACATGACCCTCATGGCTGTCATAGGATTCCTCTCTCCTAGGTGTCTGGTTACATTCAAGGATCAAGTTCTAACATCCTGACTGGTGAATTATTAAACCAAACCTCCTTGTGGTGTTCTCATCCCTTCTCACTGGACATGTTTCTTCCTGGTGCCCTGCTGTGCTAGGCAGAGAGAGTCTCAACCCATCTAGGTCCTTGGAATTGGAGTCTCAGGAGAGTTTGAGGACAACTTGTCTTCTCCCCACCAACTTCTCAGTCTTTGAGAGCTCCTTGCCTCTCTGCTAAAGGCTGACGAGATGGAGCAGTCCTACAGATCCACAATCTCCATCTACAAGGTGAGCTGTGGCTGCCAGACAGGCTGTGGAGTGAAAGGGCTGTTCTCAATTGGTTGAGAGACTCATGGGTTGGGGGCGTCTTTCATAAAGGATTTAAAAGCACAAGAGAAATGAAGTATTCTATGGGGGGATTAAATTAAGATTGATTGATTGATTTAATGTGCTTTGAAAAATCTGTGGGCCAGATCTGATGTAGTTCTGGCTCTGTGAATCTGGTGTGAGAGCAGACAGATGGCCGAAGGGATGTGTGGTGTAGTTCATACCAGAACCCAGCAGCGCTGGGGTTAACCCCTTCTAGGTATGCTGCTGTATTAAGGCACAGCACTTTTCTCAGTGAATCCCTGCCATGGGAGAGCTAAAGAGGCTCATCTTTGGAAGGGGGGGGGGAAGATTGGAGTGATGCAAGAGGGTAAAGCAGGAAAGTTACAAACTGAAACTGAATAGCATTTTGGCTGATCTTAGGAATCCTTTCTGGACAGTCAGGATCCACAGGACTGTGGAATATTCGCTCTGTCGAGTCAGACGTGCCCAGACACTAATGTTTCTAATGGCGAGTGGAGGGTAGATTAGTGTATGGGCAGCTCCTTGCCCCAGTGACCAGACCGATTTCACTGGTCTCTGAGGTCCAGATCAAACGATACAATGCACTTTTTGGTAAAGACGCTGCCAGGATCGGAGCTCTTGCTAAAGAAATCCTGGACACGCCCATGCTCAGTTAGGCTGGAGTGTGCAAGTGAGGGCACTTCCTCTGTGTGATAGGCTCTTCTCCTTAATTTTGTGCAGCACTTAGATCCCACACCTGAATTTGCACACTGCTGCCCCAGCATGGGGTGCAATAAGGGGTGCTGTGCACCTTCAGTTAATAGGGTAAGTAGACCTATGAGGCTGGGTTAAAACTGCCGCATGCCTCGACTCTTATCAAGCGATGGAGCCCTGATGCTCATGATATGGTTCCCAAGAAGTGATGCCCACCCCGGAGGGCAGAAAGAAACTCACTAGATTCCGGGTGAGGATAGTAGCCCTTGGGGCGTTCAGAGGGAAGCATGCCATGCTCTCCCGATCACCCAACCCCACGGTTTGCTCTCAGCTGGAAGAGAAAATGCAAGGGCTGTGCCCCCGCAATGTGAAGGGTGCCTGAGCCCTGACACCAGCCAGCGGGGTGATGGATAGGCCACAGCTCTGTCAGACAAATCACATACAGACAGCACAGGGCACGGGCCTGTTTCATTCCAGGCCTTGGGGCCCGGTGGAGAGCATTAACCTGTTGTGTTCTTTCACCCTTCTCTCCAACACGCATGGATAACAGAGCATCCTGGAGCATTTTAACCCTGCCCTGGAGAACCTGGTCTACCTGGGCAACAACTACATTCGTGCTTTCCACGGTGAGTGCAGCCTCTTCTCCCACCCGACTGTAGTGGGGGGACAAAAGCTGGGACTGTGTGCGCTGGCAAGTGGGGTGGGGGGGATCAGTCTGGGCTGGGGCTGTTCTGAGGTTGTGGGAAGGCAGGAGAAGAGATGGTGAGGCTGGGAAGTGGCAAAGAAGGGGCAAGTTGAAGAAAAAGGGGATGAGGATGGAGCAGGGTAATTTGGGGAAGCTTTAATCCAGCTGCTCTCTCTCCTTGTATTTCCACAGCACTGTCTGAGGCAGCTGACATCTATTTTAAGGCGATACAGAAGATTGGGGAACAAGCCCTGCAGAGCTCCACCTCACACATTCTGGGTAAGTTTTCTTCTACTGACCCTAGTTCGGTTTTAAATGCCCCCCGTGCTCCCATCGCACCGAGCAGCATGAGGGACTGTGCTCAGAAAGGAACCAGAGTCTCCAGCATGGCAATGCCCGTCACTAACCCCACCATGCATGGGTGTCTGGTATGTAAGGCAGGGGTAGGCATTGCCTTCCCAAACCACCAGGCGTAGCCCCGCCCACCGTGTGCCCCCAGAATGCCTGCAGTAGGGTGTGCTCCAGGGCAGGAGAGGCAGGGCTGGGCCAGGCCACGTGGCGTGCCCTTCTCCAGGGCTGGGGAGGCTGGAGCCATGCCGCGCAGCACGCGCCCCCTGACTTCCTCCAGGGTGGGAAGGCTGGGGTCATGCCGTGTGCCCTCTGCCCTCCTCCCTCCCTGGGACTGGAGAGGCCGTGTGGCGCCCCCTTTTTCCTCCCCCGGTGCTCTGGGGCTCGAGAGGCTGGGTTGTGCAGTGCACTGCACCCTCCTTCGGGACTGGGGAGACTAGGACAAGTGCCCGCCTCCTTCCTTCCTCTCCCCATGGTTGGGAGGGGGAGCTTGTGTGCAGCATGCTGCCCTGTGAGGGTGGGGAAGGGGCAGGGCTTGGGGCTTGCTTCCCCCAGCCATGCCTTCACCAGCCACCCATGCCTATATGCACTACGCCTGGACTGTGCAGCAATCCCAGCCTCTATTAGGCTTGTCAGGTGTCCGAACGGGACCCTGGAGGCTCCGGTCAGCAGTGCTGATTGGGCTATTAGACGTCTAGCTGGTGAGGCAGGCAGGCTCCCTACCTGGCTCTGTGCAGCTCCCGCAAGTGGCAACATGTCTCTCTGCTCCGAGGTGGAGGGACAGCCAGGGGGGCCCCGAGCTTTGACCCCATCACACGCACCAGCTCCACAGCTCCCGTTGGCCAGGAAGAGTGGGCAGTGGAAGCTGTGAGGGTGGTGTCTGGGGGTGGAGACAGCTCACACGCTATAGAACTGCCTGGCTGGGCCTCCGCCTAAGAACTGGAGGGACGTGTTGCCACTTCCCGGGAGCTATCTGAGGTGAGCGTCACCCAGAACCCACACCTGTGCCTGAGCCCCCTCCCATGTTCAAACTCCCTTCCAGAGCCTGCACCTTGCCCCAACTCTGTACCCTACCCCAATCTGGAGTCTCCTGCTGTACCCCAAACTCCTCATCCCCTGTCCCACCCTGGAGCCCATAACCCCAGCCCAGAGCCTGTATCCCTTCTCATACCCCAAATCCCTGCCTCTGCCCAGAGCGTCCTTCCACAATCCATACCCTTCAGCCCTACTCCCCAGCCCAGAACCCCTTCTGCATCCCAAACCCTTCACCTCTGGCCCCACCCCAGAGCCCACACCCCAGCGGGTGCCCTTACCCCTCTGCCCCAGCCCGGCATTCCCTCTTGAACCCCAAATTCATCCCCACCTCCAGCCCAGAGCCTGTATACCATCCTGTACTCCACCCCTTACCCCAACCCAGCTGTCAACTAAGGCTGTAGAGCAGACTTATTATTCTCTCTGGGTAGTGGTCTCACTAGAAGGTGTGTGGATTACAATGCTGATCTCACAATCCCCAACTGCCTCCCATGACTTCCCCAGATTCCCTGTCACGTCTTACTCAAAACCCCATCAGCGTAACTACCTTCATTGCAACTTACGCATATCAAAAGCTGTGCAACATCTCAGACCAAATACATGGGCACCATCTAAACTAAATATCCGTATAAGCCAGGCAGGGTGGACAAGACTACGTGTGCTGGCGTATTTCAGTTTGGATTCTTTACACATGGGCTATTTAACATATGAAGCTGAACCCAAATTTTCAGCCTGCTGCTGCCGTGCCACGCAGAATCCAGAGTCCCTGGAGTAGAATGTGGATGTGGCTTGCTGTGAAGTACACTATGGCTTGCGATGGGGAACAGCCTTCCAACCCCTTGCTAACTCCATTAGCCCTCAAGTGTGGTTTCCTGTAGAGTGCTAAGCCATTAGCGCTCAAGTGTGGTTTATTATAACATGCATAATCTGTGAAACTATAGAAAAGGAATGAGCAGCTGTTACCTGAGTAGTAGAATGAAACGGATTGGCCGGAACTCTTTCCTCATGCATTAGACCCCGCCCCAGCAGACAGCGAACACACAGCAAAAGTAGTTGGACCTTTGCACTAAGATAACACTACCCCCACTTTCGTGATTAGTGCTAATGGCCCCTTTGTTCTAACACCCTGGGAGAGAATGCTGCACACATGGGAGGAAGATCTGACTGTGATACTTTGATCTCTTTTCTTGAAGGTCAGATTTTGATACAGATGTCTGACACCCACAGGCACATGAACGTTGACCTGGAAGCAGTGGTGAGTTTCTCTACTGGGAGTGGCCCACAGCTGTATGCTGGGCCCAAAGCGCCTGTGTTTTATGGAGCTGGGGGAGCCGGAAGCCATCTGGTGTTTCCATACCAAGAATTTGGGGTGGGTTGCTCCCAGTTTGTGGTGGGCAGAACTGGGGACGGGGTGTGTGATCTAAGCAGCATTCAGTTCTGAGGTGCCAATATTTCCATCCCCTGCCCCCAGTAGTGCTGCTGGGGATGGGGATTGGGAGGAAAGCGCCTGTGTTTTATGGAGCTGGGGGAGCCGGAAGCCATCTGGTGTTTCCATACCAAGAATTTGGGGTGGGTTGCTCCCAGTTTGTGGTGGGCAGAACTGGGGACGGGGTGTGTGATCTAAGCAGCATTCAGTTCTGAGGTGCCAATATTTCCATCCCCTGCCCCCAGTAGTGCTGCTGGGGATGGGGATTGGGAGGGGGAGGACTAGTGGAAAACGCGGATGTTAACTGTGATATCACAGCAGTGTCTAGAGGGCCCATCTGGCATTGTGAGACAGTCTGCTCCCCAAAGAGCTTTCAGTCTGGCTAGACAAGACAAAGGGTGGGAGGAAAGATGGTGTTAGCTCTGACTGCAGTCAGCTGGCCAAGCATGTTCATCAGGAGGCGGGGGGGCTGGTACTCTCCTGTTTCGTGACACCCCCCCTCCCAAGCTGCCAGCGATACCCTGTAACACCTGCTGCTCTGAAAAGTGTTTGGTTAGAACAGCGCAATGGAACTGAGGTGCAGTTTCTAACGACTTCTCTGCCTCGTCTAGGCTCAGACCTTCCATGGAGACCTGCTGCAGCACATGGAGAAAAACACCACACTGGACATGAAGTTCATCAATGTGAGCCCAGCCCTTCCCTGTCTCTCCCATCCCTAAGAAGGGTGCTGGACCTCACTCCCCACACCGTCACTGTGCCCCTCCCTCTCTTGAGCCCCTTAGAGCAGCTCAGACTTTCAGCCCCTCACCCATTTAGATCATTGTTTCATCCCTGAGGCGTTTCTGAGGATATTCCAGGCTGTCCCTGGGGCAGAGGCTGGAGAGCTTCTCATACCCACTGGAGAAGGAGGGTATGTCTACACTACAAAGTTAATTCGAACTAATGGACGTTAGTTCGAATTAACTTTGATAGGCGCTACACTAGCGCTCCGCTAGTTCGAACTTAATTCGAACTAGCGGAGCGCTTAGTTCAAACTAGGGAAAGCACATTGTACGAGGACTAAGTCTAGTTCGAACTTACTAGTTTGAATTAAGGGGTGTGTAGCCCCTTAATTCGAACTAGTGGGAGGCTAGCCCTCCCCAGCTTTCCCTGGTGGCCACTCTGGCCAACACCAGGGAAACTCTATTGCCCCCCTCCCGGCCCTGGACCTCTTAAAGGGGCACGGGCTGGCTACGGTGCCCGTGCCAGGTGCAAGCCTGCCAGCACCCAGCTAGCAGACCCTGCACCTGGCACGGATCGAGCCAGCCACCCGATGCCCCCCAGCCCTTCCCCTCTTCCCGGGACCAGGCTGGCGGCTCCCCGGAGCTTGCCCGGGACCGCAAGAGGCGGGTACCCGCCTGGGCTAGTGCGGACATCGTGGACCTTGTCCACGACCTCCGCACTAGGCACAGGAAAGGGGCCGTCTAGGGCAGGAGAGCTGCCAGCCTGGCCACCCAGGAGCAGGTGTGCATGAAAATCAAGGTGGTCCACTAAGACCCCCGACCCTGAGCCCTGAGCTTACAATGGCCGTACTGGGTTAGACCAAAGGTCCATCTAGCCCAGTAGCCTGTCTGCCGACAGCGGCCAACCCTAGGGACCCTGGAGGGGATGGACCGAAGACAGTGACCAAGCCATTTGTCTCGTGCCATCCCTCTCCAGCCTTCCACAAACTTTGGGCAGGGACACCACTCCTACCCCCTGGCTAATACCACTCTATGGACCCAACCTCCATCACTTTATCTCACTTCTCTTTAAACTCTGTTCTAGTTCTAGCCTTCACAGCCTCCTGCAGCAAGGAGTTCCACAGGCTGACTCTTTGCTTTGTGAAGAACAACTTTCTGTTACTAGTTTGAAGCCTGCTACCCATTCCTTTCCTTTGGTGTCCTCTAGTCCTTCTATTATGGGAACTAATGAAGAACTTTTCTTGATGCACCCTCTCCACCCCACTCATGCTTTTAGAGACCTCTATCCTGTCCCCCCTAAGTCTCCTCTTTTCTAAACTGAAAAGTCCCAGTCTCTTTAGCCTCTCTTCATATGGGACCTGTTCCAAACCTCTGATCATTTTAGTTGCCCTCCCCTCTCCCATGCTCTCTCTTCCCCTCTCCCACCTCCTTTTCCCAGTCTCCCCGAGTTTTGTTCAATAAAGAGAGATTCTATTTTTGACCACACGTTATCTTTATTTTGTACATCAGGAAGGGGGGCTAGGGAAGGGTAAGTGGAAGGAGGAGAGGGAGGAATGGGGTACGAGCCCCCGATGGGGAGGACTGGGCTGGCTCTGCGGGCTTCTGGGGGGGGAAGCTCTCCTGCAGCCCCCCAATTGCCCCCTCTCCCCAGATGGCAGCCTGCGGCAAGTGCAGCCGGCCTGATGGCCGAGTGCTGTGATGTGCCCAGTGAGGGCACTCAGGGCACTCCAAGCCAGGACTGCTTTGCAAGCGGGGCACCCCTGAGGACTGTCTGTCCGGGGTGGGGGTTGGGACCCTTTAAGCACAGCCCTCAGCTAGCCTGAGGCAGCAGCTCCACGCTCTAAGTCCTCCTCTGATGCCCTGCCAGCACTGCTTCCGGCCAGCCTTAACCCCGGTTCAGGGTCCACTTAATGTGGACATGCTAGTTCGAATTAGCAAAACGCTAATTTGAACTAGTTTTTTAGTCTGGATCCGTTAGTTCGAATTAGCTTAGTTCGAATTAACTAATTCGAACTAAGTTAGTTCGAATTAGCGCGGTAGTGTAGACATACCCGGAGAGACTAAGGACTTTCCTTCTGCCTATCTGATCACGTCCTCCATTCATTGGGCTCTTAAGTCCCATTTTCAAAAGGGATTAAGGCCCATTGACTTTAAATGAGATTTAGGCTCCTAAGTCCCCTCTGTGCTTTAGAAAATGTTCCTCATCGTCTCTGTTCTCCTTCTGTGCTCCTGGCAGAACAGCCGTCAGCAGTACGAACTGGAGTACCGGCACAGGGCTGCCAACCTGGAGAAGTGCATGTCGGAGCTGTGGAGGATGGAGAGGACTAGAGACAAGAATGCCTGGGAAATGAAGGTGGGAAATGAAGGGGAAGCAAGGATAGTGCTGAGTTGCAGGGGATTCTGGAATGAGGCGAGTGGTCATCACAAGATGATGTTGATGATACCTCCAGAGCCCAAGATGATTTCTAAGTCTCTCCGGGTATATGTACACTACAAAGTTAATTCGAACTAACAACCGTTAGTTCGAATTCACTTTCATAGCGTCTATACATACAAACCGCTACTTTGAATTTAATTCAAACTAGGTAAACCTCATTCTACGAGGACTAACGCCTAGTTCGAATTCAGTAGTTCGAATTAAGGGCATTGTAGCCACTTAATTCAAACTAGTGGGAGGCTAGCTCTCCCCAGCTTGCCCTGGTGGTCACTCTGGGCCAAACCAAGGAAACTTTTCTGCCCCCCTCCCGGCTCCGGAGCCCTTAAAGGGGCATGGTCTGGCTACAGGCCCCTGGCAGGTCAGGCCCCCGCCACCCGCTGCCACCCAGCCCTCCGCCTCTTCCTAGGACCAGGCTGGCGGCTCCCAGGAGCCTGCCCGGGGCTGGAAGAGAAGGGCACCCGCTTGGTCTAGTGCGGAGATCGTGGACAACAATCTCCACACTAGGCACAGGAATGCAGCCGTCTAGGGCAGAATAGCTGCCAGCCTGGCTACCAAAGGCCACATGCGAACCCAGGAGCAGGTTTGCATGAAAATCAAGTTGGTCCAGTGAGAACCCCGACCCTGAGCTTAGAACATAAGAACGGCTGTACTGGCTCAGACCAAAGGTCCATCTAGCCCAGTAGCCTGTCTGCCGACAGCGGCCAACACCAGGTACCCCGGAGGAGATGGACTGAAGACAATGACCAAGCGATTTGTCTTGTGCCATCCATCTCCAGCCTTCCACAAACAGAGGCCGGGGACACTGTTCCTACTCCCTAGCTAATAGCACTCCATGGACCCAACCTCCATGAATTTATCTAGCTTCTCTTTAAACTCTGTTATAATTCTAGCCTTCACAGCCTCCTGTGGCAAGGAGTTCCACAGGTTGACCATGTGCTGTGTGAAGAAGAACTTTCGCTTATTAGTTTTAAACCTGCTGTCCATTCATTTCATTTGGTGTCCTCTAGTCCTTCTATTATGGGAACTAATGAAGAACTTTTCTTTATTCACCCTCTCCACACCACTCATG